TATATGTGTTTTTTTTTTTTTTTTTGTGTATACAGATACATACAGAAATTTACGAGGTCCCCTTTATGAGGCCTTCCATAGAGATAAGACATCTATGAGATATATCAAAAGATCTCAAAGAGCCCTCATGCACATAGAGAAGCTCTATAGAAAATATCAAATATCAAATATTTTTATAATCTAGGGATTGTAGCTTTTATTTTTTCATAGTATTGTGAGATATATATACAGTCTATCTGAAGTCTAAATTTCACAAATTTTAATGTTTGCATAAAACTTAGGTGGGAGAATTTGATTTAATATTTTCTCCATAATTTTAATTATTTACGAAAAGAAAAATGACAAATTATCTTAAAAACTTGGAAATTCCCTCATATGGAGGTTGCTAAAGCTATATTGACTAGTTCAAGAACACGAAACATAAAATTACAGCTAATGGATAAATAAATATTGAATTGACTGAACATAAATACATGTGTTTTGAGTTTTACCTTTATTAAAGAGTATCTCCGAGGTGTAAAAGCTTCATAACTAATCATGTAAGAAGTCGACGAAACACGGATATAAGCCGGCAATTTTATATGATGATTTTACAATTACCTGAAAATGTCTTATTGTAACAAATATCGACTAGGATTGCTATACGACGACCAAAGCAAGAACCATTCGGAGGACCAAAACTTCAGATACCCATCAATTTTTATAGGAAGTGGTGATTAAATTTCTATAAAATCGTTTTATATAATTATAATATCTGCTAGATCATTTAAATTTAGTTCGAGGAAAAAGTACCCGAATATAAAAATCAAGTTGCATTTCGAAACCTCCACAGTCTTTAACATGATTTGGTTCTTTAATGTCATATAATAAACAAATGCTTTTTATACCCTACACCACAAGGTGGTCAGGGTATTTTATTTCTCAGCAAACATTTTTATATAGAGCAATATCGTAAGAATATATTTTAAAATCAAGCAAAATTGATGATTATATTTATTTTCACGTTTCAAGTCGAATATGGGCAAATTATTTAAATAGATAAAACACAAACATTGATTAATAGGTCGTTTAACAAAAACCAAGACAAATTTGACTTTTGCACCAGAACACATCGCTGATCAGCTATGATATAGATCAACAGTGTTCACCTGTGCTAACACATGAACACTGTTAATATAGCGAATTTTCACAAATAAAATTATAATTTTATATTATCACTAGTTTTTTGATTATTAAAAAACAAAGAGAAATTGGACTGGTGAGCGACATCTTGTTTTTGAGTAGCGCTGTTATAGATAAATCGTAGTTTTTTAATAAAAACTCTCCACGTTTTCCTTGTATTTAATAATAATATTTAATTCTTTTATGAATGAGGTCTACCACCCTTAAAAAAATCGTATAAATATATTTTACAGCGGAGTTATTGCTTTTCATCCCGTAATTTCTATTTTAGTTATAATACTAAAAATATTCTGCGCGCCAAAAGGAAAGCCAAATACCTGGTGAGCACATTACTAATTTTTAAAGACCGATTTTTTTAATATCTGATTTTCGTTAAACTTTCTCCAAAAATGTTAAATCTACGCCTCGAACTGCCTTTTCAAAAATCATTTCCCATTTTTATTTTCAAAACTCACCCAAAGCCGTGACAAATTAGTTTCAATAACATTTACGGAGACAATCTCCCCATAAGAAAAAAAATATATAGAACAAATGACTCTGACAATTTGTAGGCGGCCTTGAATTAAGTTTTAATAGTAGACATTGTCAACTGACTATACGGTGTCCTATTTCTAAAGCAAAGAATGACATTTATTTTTTATTTTTCGTTTGTGTGTGAGCTTTTATTTTCAGAAAATATTTGTCCAAAGTAATTTAATAAATCACTTTATTTGTTGTAAAAGTGAATTTGGAATATTCTTAAAGTAAAACAATTTCAAGTTTTCTTTTTCTTTCTCTCTGTTGCCATATTTTTTGCTAATTTTTAAGATATTTTATTTGTTTTCTACTTTTGTGGGAGGTATGGTTTGGTTGGCTGGCTGGCTGGCTGTTGATTTAAGTTTGTTTTCATTCCCCGCACATTATTATTCGTTGAGTTGCATTTCTAAGATATTGCAAATTTTATAAATTTTGAAGGCGTTACCTTTTTTGTCATTATTATTGCGAATAAATGTTGTGTGTGTCTGTGTGTGAGTGAGTGAATGCTGCTCAACTGTCTTCTCCACAATACATATGTACATTCAAGCCAACAACAATCTCTCCGTGTCTATTTTTGAGGGAACAGTTTTCCTTCAAAACGAAAAAAAAGAATCTATAAACTTGTATACCAACACTATTACATTAGAAAACTTATAGCAGAAGTTGGCAGAAAAACGAATGAAAGAAACGAAACGAGCCAAGTAGTGTTGGTGGCACTATCAAAGAGGAACCTTTTTTCCCAAATGGGTGGAAACACCACCTCCTCATTCTTGTCGTCTGTTGTTTAGCAATGACTTCTTGTTTTACGAACTACAACTACTAACACTACTACTACTACTGCGCATCTATTAGGCAACGAACGAGCACGGAAGCACAAGACGAAGAAGAAAAATGAGCATGATTTTTGTAAAAATCTAGTATATGCTAGGGTTTGTCCGAAAGACCCAACAACCATCCAACCAACCAACCGACATACCGTCCGACCGAACGTCTCAACCCGATTTCTTTCTTTGCCATCCATGCTCCTTTACATTGGCTGCCTTGCTGTAAAGTTCGTTGTGTTGCAGTTGAGCTTTCTTCGTCTACTGCCACAGTGAATGACGGACGAACGCCAAGTACCTACCTACCTACCGACTTTCGAAAAGAGTACTACAGCGGTTGTTAGCAGGGCTTTCATGGGAAACCCTTAATTTTGTTAGGTTTTTGAGTTGTGTTTAGTTTAATTTGAGTCGTTTCACCAAATCGCTGATGACGATGAAGTTGGCCTCTTTTGTGACGACAAAAAAGGGCTCTTACACCTGCCTTGTGAGAAGGTTTTGTTTAACTTGTGTAGTAGTTGTTGTTATTGTTAGTAAAGTATCATAATAACCATTGTTGTTGTTGTTATTGCCGTCGTCAAGCAATTTCTACTCAACCCAAATCACCACCCACTTTTTGGTTTTAACATCGGCCCACCATCAGCCCTCTGCCTGATGATATATGGAGCCGGGTGGTGTGTGCAAGGCAGCAGCAGAGAGAGAGAGTACCCATCATGCTAAACAAACCAACCCACTGGCTGTAAATTGTTGTTGGAAATTTCTTGCCATTTTTTTCCAATTCACACACACACTCACACACCGAGAGATGACAACAACGACGTTTATACTTCAACGTCTTGGTCTTACTTTTTGCCATGCTTGAAATGTTTGTCCATGTGTGTGTCTGTGTCTCAGTGAGAGCTTACCAATAGCTTGCCAAATGTAAGGGTGTATGTGTGAGCCAAAAAACGACAACTACTACTACGATGACGACGATGAAGAACACGGCAATGGAGTAGTGCTGTATGAGCCATTTATTTGATTTTGACTGAAATCTTGTGATGCAAATGTGCCAGCACTCACTCACTCGGGCGAATATAACAAATGGGGATTGGTTTTTGCTAAATCACACAGCAGCAACAATAACAACAACACGAGCACTAAAATAGGAAGCCTAGCAAGAATAGAGCAGACGGTGAGATGCCCTGAGAACTTTAGACGCTGGCGCTTTTCTTTAGCTATTCCAAATGCTGCTTGTTGCTGTTGCTTTACGGTTGGCGAGGATTGGGGAGGCCTAGCACTGGCTTGCACTGAGAAAATACCCAATCTTATGGAGTTTTATGGGGGAATTAACCAACAACAACAACAAAATGGCAAAATGTTGCTTTTGATATTTTTCTGCTCATTGCAGCAGGCAGTCACTTTTATGGATGTGTGTTCGTTCACATCACGAAGTGATTATAAGCCGTCTCATTTCATCTAAAGACAAATAAATTTCAAATAATGGCAACAAAAGTAACAGCAACAACAACAACATGTAATCTACAATTTGCCAACCAGCCACTCTCACCCACAATAATGAGTAATCTCATTTAACTCTTTATCAAAAAATGAGAACTCTCTTTTATTTTTTCAATATTATTATTATTTTCGCATAATAAATCATTTTTCCCCAATAATTTTTGATTGAATTATTATTGCCCGTTAATATAACCGGGAAAATTTCCCATATTATTTTTATTAATTCCCCCATAAAATCAACTAAATTCGCCGCAAATGCCTCTCTTAGTCATGCAAAGAGCATTGTTCCATTACTCTCCCATACTCTTGTGGCTCTCTTTTTTTCAGTGTTCGCAATTTTGATGGCAGCAATAATAATGATTTACTTTTTGACAAACACATGCGCTTTTTATCTGTCGCCTTAGTGTTGTTGTTGCTGCTGTTGTTCGTCTTGCTGCCGTTCATTTGATGCGGTTGAGCCATTAGCCTCGTAAAACGAACAGTCATCTCTTTCTGGCTTAGGAAAATTTATGACACTCATTTAGTAAGAAAAACAGGTAGTTTTCCTTGTCTTGCGCACATTTCATAAAATTTATTTCGAATGAAATTTAATGGCACAATTGTTGCGCTCCTTGGGCACAAACACACACACACACTCGCACACACATGCTGGCAAAACATTTGCCTACCTCCTAGGCGAGAGTAAATTTTACTACCACCAGAAAAATGAGTTGTTTTTCCCAACACTGCACACACACACACACCAACAAACACACACTCTCGCCCCGTTCGCTGAGAACAAGTATCTGTGTGAGGTGTCGTCGAACAGGCACACAGATACAACACCACCGCTGTATGTGCGTGCGTATGACTTGCTCGTTCGTTCGCCTGTCTGTTGTTCGGAGTGTGCAATTGTGTATGGCTGTGTCGGTGAGTTTGTGTGTGTGTGCTTTGTTGTTGCTCTGCGGTGCTGTTATGTTGTTTACCCCCGCCAAGTTTAGTTTTCGTTGTGATTGACAAGCCCAGTGTGTATTTGCCTTCGAAACGCGTACGACGTGCTGCTGTGCTGTGTGGATAGTTACACCACGATCGAGTAGAGTAGTAGTAACCAGAACAACAGACACATACAATAAATAAAAATCTATATTTTTTCGCCAGAGTCTTCGCTCAACAACCAAGAAGACCGACGACGAACCAGCAAGCAACCACAACAAACATCATCAATCCCAATCAAAAAAGATCACAACAAAAATTTTTATTTTTATTATTGAATGTAACAACAACACGACAAGACATATAATCATCATCTTTCTAGTAAAACACAGAAGAAAAGAAGTATAGCCCCTCAATAAAAAAAAAGAAATTAAATAAATTTTGCAAAAGTTTAGAAAAGGGGCCGTGAAAATTTCAAAAACTCTGGAAAAACAAAATATTGCACAGCATACATCAACAACAAAAAACGGCGTATTTTTTGTTTTGGAAAATTACGGCGGTTTTCAAAAGACCCAGCATAAACGGCGGTAACGCGTCTCCATAAAAAACAAAAATAACAACAAATTGTGAATTTAGTGAAAATAAAACAAAAATAACTCAAAACCAAAAAGCCGTCGCTTTTTGTGGGCAAACGTGAAAAACGCGCGCGCGATTTATTCTTCGTTCGGTTTAATTTCAAATTTAAGTTTTTCTTTTGGTTTTCCATCATCCAAACAACCAACCATCTTCAGTTTAGAGGAAAACTGTGATACAACTACAAAAAATTGTTTAAGTTTCTTTTTGCAAAATAAATAATTTTTACAACACAGTGGTATACGAAAACAAAAATATATTTTTTGGACTCCCTGCAAAAAACAAAACAAACAAACAAAAACAAATCATAAAACAAAACAAGAAACATGGATTTATGACCCCCCACACAATAATAATAACAACAACAAGTAATAAATTATAATAGTTATAACAACAACAACAAGTATACTAAAAGTCATGCTTAAATAATTGCAACAACAACAACCACAACAAAATTGTATACGATTTTTTCTAAAACAAAAATATAAAAATTAAAATTATTACAAAAAAGAAAAGTTTTTCTTATAAATGTGCCTAAAAATAAGTCAAAGCAAAGGAAAAGCAAGATAAAATAATCTATAGAAGAAGAAGAAGAAAATCATCACCTTACTCCTTCCTCTCCATACAAAGTGACTAGTGTACAAAAAAATCTTGGAAAAATTAAATTACAACTTTGAAAAGCAGAGTATCTTTTTGTTGTTAACCAGTGTTGTATACAGAACATCGCCAACGAAAAAAAATCTACAGTCCAATTGCCGAGATTGGTTGTAGCTTTTTTTTAAGTTTTTACTTTTTTGTTTAATTTTTAACAAAAAGTGGCACAAATCGGGTTGGACACCGCTCCTAGAGCATTAATGGCTCAACCTAGGGTAAGTATTGCAAGAAAATTTCATCATGTTAGGGAAAATTATTGTGTGAAAATGCTTAGGGTACAGGGTGTTAAAGTAGCGACGGCATTTTGTCATGGGCCAAATGAAGTGGCGAAATAAAAAAAATATTTTAAAAAGATTAAAAATCATAAAATTAGTTTCTAAAAACGAACTCTAAAATAATTTTCCATAGATTTTCAATGGAAAATGTATTTTTGAAAAAAATCAATAGTTACCTTAGTGTTATGGTGGAGACAAATTTGGCCAAGAAAGCGCTAATGTTTACTTCAAAATCTCCTTAAATTAAATAAAAAATAGAAAATATTAAATACGATACCGAATTTTTTTTATCAAATTATTGGTGTCAAATACCTTTCAATTAATTCCAAAATTTGGCCAAAAAAAAAAAAAAAACTCCAGAATTTGGCTATATACCCGTCTTTAATACTTTCACATTAAAAAATAGAAAATAGAATAGAAAGTGTTAATTCCTAAAACTCAGCCGAATATTCAATCACACTATTAGTAGCAGAAACCTTTCAAAGTTTGGGCAAGAAAAGGTCAATGTTTCGGCAATATCTTCTTAAATTATAAGGCCATATGTTTGCCTTTCCTGTTTTTATCAAGTGTCAATTTCCAAGACTGTGACGAATATTCAATCACCTTATTAGTGCCAGAAACCCTTCAAACATTTTCAACGATTTTGAAATCGTCTAACAATTCTCTAACAAGGAAAATACTTAAAAGTGGACAGCTTCCCCGAAGTCATTCAAAAAATTTTCATAATTCCATTTTTTTAAATCAATTCAGAACCAAACAATGTTCGACTCTTCCGAAAATGGAAAATAAATTTTAAAATTCCCCATACCAAAAGACAAATTTCCGACCATAAAACGACAGAATTTTCTCTTCTATATTTCAAGTAGATAAAATGATTTGAATCTCAAAAACTTTTCGTCACAAAATATTTGGATCAGAATTGAACTTTGTTAGAATTTTCAATGAAAATAAGTCGTTTCTCATTCCCATTACTGAAAAAATTGGCATTTTGAGAAACGCTCATATTTTCTCCTTGATTTATTAGTAATTTCGAAGAGATAGATAGAGATTTGGATTTCTAAACATGCCTATATTTTCTACAAAGTCTGTAGATAATCTTTCTTTTGGATTTTCAAGTGATTTTTTGTGGATTTCCTTGTAGTGATAGGTAGTGATTTCAAAGGGAATTCTCCATGAATTTTGAAATGTCCTATTACAATATCATTAACTTTTGATCTCAGAGCCCCTGATGCCTCTTCCCGACTTTCAAATATCAGTTAAATAAAATATAGTAATTTTTTCCAAATAGCAGAACTCTTGGAATGACCATAATTTGATCTTGAAAATACGCAGAATATTTATTGTTCAAACCAAGTGCAATTTTCTTTCAGTGTATTAAAAAAGGTTTCCTTTATTAAAGAAATGAATGATCCTCTACTACATTTCGGCGAAAGAAAATTTAGTCAAGTCTGTATTAGCTATTCCTGATCAATTTTCCCTGAACTTCCATTAGCATGGCATTTGGAGTTCAGTCAAGTGAATTTTTCTTAGTTCGATTTCTAAGAGATTTCAAGGGAGCCCACTTTTAAACGTCTATCTCTTATAATGTTTTCCCCAAACACAATTAGGAGTTAAACGCCTTTTTTATCCTGAAACCCCCATTGGAAACTTCCCTGCTAAATCCTCGAAATTTTCCTCGAATTTAATTTTCATACCGTTCAGTCAATATTGAAATTATATTCACAGATTTGGAGGACATACATTAGTCTTCTAATTTGTATTTCAAATGGATATTTTATAAATTTTTGGCAATGATTAAGTGATTATGTCCATCCTTTAAATTAACCATATTCACATAATTTTAGCAAAAATTCTGAATCTCTACCTTTGTACTTCCACGCTTCCAATACTTAAATTTTTATTAAATTTTCCTGAAGAAATTTCTCCCATAAATCCCCTATATCAATCTTTTGATTTAAATCACCAAACCCAATAAAAATTCCACCAAAACCCTCTGCATACTTTTAGGCAACTTATGGCAACATTAGCGTCGGCAAAAACATAAACATATTTTTTATTTTTATATTTTTTGGAAATTAGTTTGTAAATATCTTGGCTAAATGTTATTAAACATTTTCATCCGTCTTGATGTTTTTTCATTAATTTTTTTTTTGCCAAGTTTGTTTTTTGTTAAATTTCAAGCTCATTAGCTCGTGTTGATTTTCATTGTTTATAAAATTTATTAAATATTGCCATTATTATTATTGGTGTTATTATTATTGTTATGGTGTTGTGTTTTTTCCTTGTGTGTCTTGAACGGAAATTATATTTAATTAAATTAACATGGATCATGCCATGATATTTGGCTCAAAAAACAATAGGACCCCCTCCTTGTAAGATCTCTCCCTGTGAGATGATGATCGCTCAAAACAGATAGACAAAAAAAATGCGTGAGCGTTTGCGTAAATTTTTTTCAAAACGAAAAAATACAAAGGCCAAACTAAAAATATATAGAAACAAAGCAAACGAAGAAGAAGAAGAAGTAGTAGAAAAAAAAAACAGAATTTTGTTTTAAAGAAAATAAATTGCGTGCTGATGGTTCATTTAATTTAATGAGCAACAACGGCGGCGTGCAGCAGCAAAAGCGCACAGCATATACTCTACACAACATTCATTTAAGTGAACGCTTTTGTATGTACGTCACTTGTAGTTTGTGTTGCCTTTTTTTGTTTTTCGAAACAGTTCAAGTAACTTATCTTAACAAAAAGAAGAAAATGAAAAAAATGATTTTCTTGGTCTCCTTTGAAGAAAAAAAACGCTCGTTTTGGAGGGAAATGGCATTGTGTTGTGTTTGGCTTAAATTAAAAGTAATTTAAGGAAAAAATTGAAAATGATTAAATTAAATATCATCAAAAATTGTATTTGCCACACATTACAATAAACAAAGGAATTTTTGTTGCAAAAATCCAACAAGAAGAAGATACCAGACTTTCTTTGCACTTGATTACCAATCATTTAGAATGCATGGCATTGTGTGTGCCTGATATTCTTTAACACGGAAGTGTTCATTAACCCCCCTGTTTTATAACTTATTTTTGGTAATTTGTTTGGACTTTCAAAATTATGGGTTATGCCCCGAGCCAGAGTTGTTAAGTTGAGGACATAAACACTTTAAGGTTCTCCAAAAAAAAAAAAAAAAAAAACGAAAAAACTTATTTTTTTTTGTCAAATTATTTGTCTTCTTCGTTTTCCAAAGAACCACAAATGAAGTTATGTTGTTTAAGCTGTCTTTTGTAATTATTTTAAACTTAAACACACATTGTCCTTTATTTGACCAAAAAAAAGGAGCAATTGTTGGCACCCGTCGATAGCACGCAATTGCCTCATCATCGAAAGGCCTGGGTAATTTGTTGGCCCTCCATTATAAATATTAACTTTGGTATGCAAATATTGCAAATTGAGACTGAAATTGTTCTGAGGAATTATTTCATTTTCAAAAGTGAAAATGGTAATTTGTGGTGAACCTCAAAGGTCCTTAAAATTCAAAGAGAGACAATGTGCCAATGGGAGATCTTTTCAAAAACCAAATAAGCTAAAGGAAAAAAGTGAGCAAAAATGAAAAATTAAATAATCAAAATATATGTGTCAGCTTATGTTGGTTGAAGGCCCCGTGATAGCTTAACTTCCAAAGTTTATTTTTTCCATTTTCCAAAATTCTGCTGCTATTTGCTTTTGTCATAAACGCATTTCTTTTTTGTTTATTTAGTTTTAACATTATGGCTTAAACTAGTTTAAATTGAATTCAGTTAAACTGTTGCTAATGTTTCAAATAAACATTTTTCCAAGTTAGCATTAAACACACATGTTTAAATGGACATTTTCATATTCAATTTTATTGGTTATTGAATTGTTTGAAATTGTATTTGCCGGACTTGTTAGCACAACGGTGAAAAGGTGTTAATTTTTTTGTGAGGAAGAAAACAGCAACAAAAATAACAGTGGCCATGAACAGTGAAGGAAATTTGAATAGGAGCAGTAATAAAAAAGGGCAGAGAAAAGTGACAAATTTTCAAGTTGTGAATTTTAAAAATAAAACTTAAATAAGAAAATTTTCCTATTTCTAAAAAAATACAAAATTTAAAATTAGGTGTAAACTTTTAGGCAATTTGGCTCCTTTCTTCTTTTTATTAAAAAAAAATTGTAAAATATCCCACTTCTAATTATTGTATTTATATTTCCTTAATTTTCTATCTCTTCGAAAAAACATAATTTTCATTTTAAATAAAAAATTAAAATTACCTAGATAATTTCTAAAATTTTAATTTTTACACCTCTGGTGGCCTCATCTGTTCTCTTAATTCTAATATCAATATTTCCCAGATCCATCAAGGTTTATGGAAGTTATGATAATTTTAGTGCAGCAATTCAATTCATTTGAACCCCATCAATTTTCTTTTGCAAAAAGTGATGCATAGTTTTAGGCAAAATTTGAAATACTTTTAATTTTTTAAATATTGTGGATTTTTATTAAATTTGAATATTTCCGAATATTTTGTTAAAAAAAAATAATACGTAGATTGAAAATGATGGAACTTTTAGGGAATATATTTTATTTATTTTAAATAAAATTTTAAAATTATTTAAAAAAATACTAAAATTCTATCTTCTACACAGTTGGTACCTCCAATAGGTCTCACAATTTCGATATACATATTTTAGAAATCCACATAGAATTCTTGGAGTTATGGCCATTTATATAAAATCGCCCATAACATTTAGATATTTTTTAGTTTCCCCTTGGCCAATACCTGATGCATATTTTTAGGCTAACTTCAATTTTGTTTAATTTCATGGATTTAGAAGATTTTGTATCAACTTCGGAAAATATTTTTATATTTCAATTAGAAAAAAAATTATATGAGAAAAAAATTAAATTTATTTTTTCAAATTATTGGACTTGA